AGTGATGTGTTCGAGTCCTCCATAACTTTATATACTTAAGGCATTTTTTTTTCTTTTCTGACAAAGTGTTATTTTGTTGGTTTCTGGTCTTGTTTATAATGTCCCCCCACCCCCAAAAAAGGAAAAAAATGCCCCTTTCAGCCTGGTCCCTGGGGCCAAGATGCAGCGCCAGGATTTGCGGGGCCAGTGGCCAGCCAGTGTGGATGAAGGTGATCACAACAGAAAGCCAGGTCGCCTGGACCCCTTTGTCCCCTTCAGGCTGGTCTCCAGGTGTCTCGGGGGCTCCAGGCAGCCCTGTGTGTGGAACCTTGGGCTGGGCCCACGGAGATTCCAGGACCCTTCCAGCAACATCTGAATGCAGGAGCCCTGGAGCTAGACTGGTCCCTCGTCGTGTCCTTGTCACATGTGCCCAGCGGGATTGTGGGCATCATTCAGGCCGGGGTGAGCAGCAGGAAGCACCATCTGGGGGTCCCCGACCACACCCGACACCTTCTCTTCCTCTCGTCGCTTCAGGCAGGCTGCTTTGGGGTTCAGGTTGCGCTCTGGGAGGGAGAGAGAGCGGCGTGGGGCTGGGTCCTTGGAAGGGGCCCACCAGGGACTGAGTGCAGGGAGGGGTGGGGGTGCTGCACTTGGTGGAGCTGCTTTCATCCATTGGTCCTGTGGCCTCTAGGATGACGGAGAGCCTGGGACCACAGGGTGGGGGCGTCCATCTGCACCAGCCGGGGACCCTACCTCGCACCTGCTGCTCCAGGCCCAGGATGACCTGCACAGCCTGCTGCAGGATGAGCAGCTTGGTCTGCGCCTTGTCGGACTTGAGGTGCAGCTGACACATGCGCCCCAGCTCCCGGAAGGCCTCGTTAATGTCGCGCACGCGCACCCGCTCCCGCGCGTTATTGGCCATGCGCCTCTCCCGGTCCCTCAGGTCCTTCTCCTCCAAAGACAGCACCTCTTCCGTACTGCTGGGTCACAGCACCGGGGCCTCCATTAGTCACGGGCAGGGCGGGGCATGGAAGGGCATCCGCGGATGTAAGTGAAGGTGGCCACGGATGTGGGTGACAGCTAGTGTTGGATGCAGCAAGATGAGGGACAGTGGGTGTAGGTGAGAAGTGTTGGTATGTGCCTCTGTGGGTGACAGAAGCTGGTGACAGCGTGAGGCATGATGGGTGCTTGTGGCTAGGGCATAGTAACTGTGACCACTGTACACAGTCCCTCTAGAAATGGGCTGCCAGGGGTCGGTCCAGGGAACAAGGCTCAAGGCGGGTGTGCAGTGGGTCTCTGAGGATGGCGCTTGCTTGGGGAAGAGATTCTGTCCCACTGGCTGTCCCCATACATTGGGTGAAAGGAGAGTGTGACCTCATTGGGTGTCCTGCCCCCCCCCCCCCCC